CTGGGCGTCTTGTTTTCCGTTTCCGGTTCCTTGAACCCGCTTTCGACCATCCACTTCCCGATGAAGGCTTGGGAAATGCCGAGTGCGGTCACCCCTGCTGTGTGTCTGCAATGCTAAATGTGGAGCGTACCTATGGTGAGCAGGTAGCCCCGGTAGCCAAGGCGCCTCTGGCTGCGAGGAAGAGCGCTCCTCCGCCGAAGCACAGCCCTGATAGTCGACCTAGCATCCTATGCGCCCACTCGTTAATGTATATGTTCTTGTAGTCCTCGAGGTCGATATCGTAGTGCACCTGTTGGTACTCCGGGGTGGTCTGCGCAGGCATGGAGAGACGCATGGAAGTCCGCCTACCTTGTAACGAGCGAATTCGCGCTGCCACTCAGCGTCGTCTTGAGGGAGGTGCTTACCCAGAAGCCGCCAGTCGAGCATGGAGAGGCCGCTTTCGTTAAGTCTCACGTAGGCTCCGAGCGCCATGACGCCCGCGGTTATGCCGGCGGATCCTGTATCGCCGTCGACCTTCTGAGATGACACAACCTACCCAATAACCACCAAGCAACCCCCTTTCCTGCCAGGTTTAGACACTCGAAACCAGCACCCCGAATCGTGGCGAGAGTGTTGACTAGCCTTTGTTGTTGTCGTGAATGGGTCCACCCGAGAGGCGTCGGCGTGATCACAAGATCCACTGGTACTATTATCACCAGTACTACGCATATGTGGCATCTGGTGTGCAGATCGCGCCTTGGTCGAGGCGCCTGGTGAGTTGTGAACGTTCCTGAGTGGGAGTGCGCGGTGGCACAGGAAGGTCGGCTGCTGTGAGCGACGCAACGGATGCGCCGAAAAGGCGCTAATCAAGCGTCTATACACCATATTGGATGGCTTCTAATGATTACAAGGTAAACTGTGCTTGATTTTCGCTAGTTCTCCCCATGAGTACGGCACATCCACCTCGTGCCAATACAACGACCATTAGTGCTTATCCCAAGCCGACTTCTTGAATCGAAAAATCCGATCTAAATATGGAAGCTACCTTGGCGCCCGCCGAGCCGGACGTGCCTGCGCCCAAGGCAGAGAAGCGAAAGAAGAAGCAGTCGAAGGCGCGCAGCCCCTCCGACGACGATCTGTTGGAACTCGAGGGGCTGTCGCTGACACCGCAAAACCCGCTGCTGGTCAACCCACTGCCGGGGGAGCCGTTGCGCCGGGTAAACAAGTGGACAGCGGCGATTCCACCAAACAAGCCTGTGCACGAGCAGTTCAAAGGACGCTCGTACCCAACTGGTTCGTTTCGATTTTACAGTGCTAAGAGCAGCACAGGGGAAGTCTGGGAGTACAGTGGAGCAGGAGCGGCTCGGATATTTGTGCGACGTGGTACACGAACTGGATGCCGAGGCTCCCCTTTTTAAACCCGACCAGGCCAAGTTTACAACGATGCTAGAATACAAGGTGCAATGTTTGGAGAAGGCCGTCCGAGACTCCAACCTCATGATGGGCGCCTACTGCCAGTCCTCGGAAACATCGCACCAGAACCATGTGCGAAAGCACCATGTCAGTTTTAAGGAGGGTAAGCTGCGGCTGTTTGCTTGGTCGGTAATCTCCACCATGCTGAACGCGGAGGCACGGAGACACCTCGTGCCCTCGAACATGACAGTGCCTGATACTGCCGCCACGGCAGAGGCGAAGCCGTCCGCGGCGCCGATAATAACGTCGGGTAACAAGGCGCCGAAGAAGCGAAAGGTGGCAATGGCCAAGGGTACGCCATCGATTACTGCCTTCTTCAAAGCCGCATGACTTCCTCACATAGCAAGGCACTATTGTGTATGTTAGACAGCCTGTGGCGAGGTGCTACGCGGCGACACCGATATACGTCGTGCTAACAAAAGGTATTAATGTAGCCATAATTGTATTACCATCAGTGGCCGATGATGCAAGTGTATCACCTCGCGCGTGCCAACAACATCAGCAGCACCGACCACAGGGCCATAGCGTTCGCGTGGTGGGTAAGAGCGCCGTGCAACGGCACATGCTTGAGGACCGTCATTATGCCAATGACAACCTGAAGCAGCGAGGCGTGCAACGAACCCATGGCCAGTTTGCGCACCCCAGACGGGACCCCGCCCGCTCTGGCACTCCAGTACGTGAGCGCTGACATGACAACTGTGGCGTAGCCGAGGCACCTGTGGTTGAACTGCACCACACCCGTTTTCTCGAACAGGTGCTTGAGGCAGGTGACCTCCTTGTAGTCGTCGGGGACGTAGGTGTCCAGCATTTTGGGCCAGGTGTTGTAGGCGAGGCCCGCGTCGTTGCCCGCGACAACCGTGCCATACAGCATGGTCATTAAGGTGCACGCGAGTGTGGCACCTCCCATCCGCCGCACCCGACGCAGGGCAGCAGTGTTCGGGTTGGCAGCACACTTCAGCAGCTTTAAGCCGTTCCACAAGCACAAAGAGTATATGCTGAGGGCGCCTATGAAGTGTGCAGTCAAGCGGTACGGCGACACCCTGAAGAAGTCTGACCGATGGAATGCGCGGCATTACCTGGGCGTCTTGTTTTCCGTTTCCGGTTCCTTGAACCCGCTTTCGACCATCCACTTCCCGATGAAGGCTTGGGAAATGCCGAGTGCGGTCACCCCTGCTGTGTGTCTGCAATGCTAAATGTGGAGCGTACCTATGGTGAGCAGGTAGCCCCCGGTAGCCAAGGCGCCTCTGGCTGCGAGGAAGAGCGCTCCTCCGCCGAAGCACAGCCCTGATAGTCGACCTAGCATCCTATGCGCCCACTCGTTAATGTATATGTTCTTGTAGTCCTCGAGGTCGATATCGTAGTGCACCTGTTGGTACTCCGGGGTGGTCTGCGCAGGCATGGAGAGACGCATGGAAGTCCGCCTACCTTGTAACGAGCGAATTCGCGCTGCCACTCAGCGTCGTCTTGAGGGAGGTGCTTACCCAGAAGCCGCCAGTCGAGCATGGAGAGGCCGCTTTCGTTAAGTCTCACGTAGGCTCCGAGCGCCATGACGCCCGCGGTTATGCCGGCGGATCCTGTATCGCCGTCGACCTTCTGAGATGACACAACCTACCCAATAACCACCAAGCAACCCCCCTTTCCCTGCCAGGTTTAGACACTCGAAACCAGCACCCCGAATCGTGGCGAGAGTGTTGACTAGCCTTTGTTGTTGTCGTGAATGGGTCCACCCGAGAGGCGTCGGCGTGATCACAAGATCCACTGGTACTATTATCACCAGTACTACGCATATGTGGCATCTGGTGTGCAGATCGCGCCTTGGTCGAGGCGCCTGGTGAGTTGTGAACGTTCCTGAGTGGGAGTGCGCGGTGGCACAGGAAGGTCGGCTGCTGTGAGCGACGCAACGGATGCGCCGAAAAGGCGCTAATCAAGCGTCTATACACCATATTGGATGGCTTCTAATGATTACAAGGTAAACTGTGCTTGATTTTCGCTAGTTCTCCCCATGAGTACGGCACATCCACCTCGTGCCAATACAACGACCATTAGTGCTTATCCCAAGCCGACTTCTTGAATCGAAAAATCCGATCTAAATATGGAAGCTACCTTGGCGCCCGCCGAGCCGGACGTGCCTGCGCCCAAGGCAGAGAAGCGAAAGAAGAAGCAGTCGAAGGCGCGCAGCCCCTCCGACGACGATCTGTTGGAACTCGAGGGGCTGTCGCTGACACCGCAAAACCCGCTGCTGGTCAACCCACTGCCGGGGGAGCCGTTGCGCCGGGTAAACAAGTGGACAGCGGCGATTCCACCAAACAAGCCTGTGCACGAGCAGTTCAAAGGACGCTCGTACCCAACTGGTTCGTTTCGATTTTACAGTGCTAAGAGCAGCACAGGGGAAGTCTGGGAGTACAGTGGAGCAGGAGCGGCGCGTGCGAACGATGAGGAGAAGCGCCACTTGGAGAAAGTGTCTGTGGAGTCGTACCAAGACTTGCGTCGGGCAGCGGAAGTTCATCGGCAGGTGCGACGCTACATCCAGTCCGTGATTCGTCCAGGTGAGAACACACTTTACGCGCGTGATTAGTCCACAGGAATTGCGCTGATCGACCTGGTTAACGCTGTGGAGACCAAGTCTAAGGAGCTGATAGCGGCCGACGGGCTTAAGTGCGGCTGGGCTTTCCCCACTGGGGTGTCGCTTAATGACTGTGCCGCGCACTACACGCCGAACTACGGCGACAAGACGGTGCTGGGCAGGGGCGACATATGCAAGTTGGACTTTGGGACGCATGTCAACGGTCACATCATCGACTGCGCGTTCACGGTGGCGTTCGACGAGCAGTTCGACGAGCTCATTCGGGCCACGCAGGAGGCCACCAACGCCGGCATCAAGCACGCGGGCATTGACGCCCGGCTGTGCGAGATCGGCGAGATCATCCAGGAAACCATCGAGAGTCACGAGGTCCAGATCAACGGCGTGACCTACCCCGTCAAGTCCATCCGGAACCTCACTGGCCACAGCATCGGCTCCTATCGCATCCACTCGGGCAAGGCCGTGCCCATCGTGCGCAACAGCCAGTGCACTGACATAATGGAGGAGGGCGACTTGTTTGCCATCGAGACCTTTGCCTCGACTGGCAAGGGCCTGGTGGTGGAGTCCATGGAGTGTTCGCACTACATGAAGGACTTCGACACCGGGTTCGTTCCTTTGACGTTGAAGAGCGCCAGGGACGTGCTAAAGTGCATCAATACGGTGGGTTGTGAGTGTTTTGTTCCTAGTTTCCCCAGAACTTCGGGACGCTGGCCTTCTGTCGTCGTTGGCTGGACGACCTCACTGGTTCCAAGAACCTGCTGGCTTTGAAGCACTTGGTGGACAAGGGGATTGTGAACCCGTACCCGCCGTTGTCCGACGTCCGCGGGTCGTACACGTCTCAGATGGAGCACACTATTTTGTTGCGGCCGACGTGTAAGGAGGTGATTTCTCGCGGCGAAGACTATTGAACGTTAATGTGAAATGTGCATGAACGTGAATATGATGCAAAAATTCGGGCCTTAGGCCAGGCACGGATGTCCGAGTGGTTAAGGAGGGGGACTTAAGATCCTCTGGTCGTGAGACCGCGTGGGTTCGAGCCCCACTCCGTGCACTAATTTGTTATCGATTTGAGTTAAATATGTGGTCCTATATACTTACGCGATCTATATGTACGTCGGTCGAAGTAAAGTTATATAGGAAGCTGGCTTTTCAGCCGAGTTACATCAAAGATGAAGACGGGACTCAGTCACTTTTGCGCTGAAAGCAACTTCGCTATCACTTTTGCAAACTGGAAATACAGTTACATTCGTCACAAGCCCTGACTGTGCCATTGTAAAGATAGAGGTGTCTACGAGGAAATATAACATAAACATTTCGTGTGCGACCCATTAGGTATCCTTCCACGTAGCCGTGGGCATTTGAAGTGTCAGTAGGGCACAACATCACCATCGATGCAGTCGAAATAATAGTGGAGTCAGCATTCTTTGACTTCGACGGCCGAGGTGTGTGGTCCCCATTTCACCAGTACCCCGTGAACGAGGGGCCATCCCACTCTGGGTTATCTTAACATTTGTTGCTATCTTATTTCAGTCTTCATACACCGATTAATCTGTATCTTACTAGCAATGGCTGTCCGCAGTGCGCTTTCTCGCGGCCTTCGCCGCTTTAGCAGCGTCAGTTGTCTTGGTATGCGCTCGGGCGTCTACGGCCGCTTCGAGCCTTCCCTTCGCGCCACCAAGTTCTTCCAGCAGTCTCGCGCTTTTTCGGCGGAATCTGCGAAGCTTCTCCAGCTGGTGCAGGGAGAAATCCAGCACGAGAACTCAAACTACGAGGCTCCGGCCACCATCAAGACGTTCCTGGAGAAGAGCGGTAGGTTGACAGCTGTGTGCTATTCACAATGGTTAGACTGGAAATTCATCGAGAAGGACGGTGACATCAACATGTCGTTGGAGAAGACCGTGGAAGGTTGGTTTGCTTTATCAATTCGGCAGTTGTTCTTTGCTTTATATAAAAGGTTTATTGTTGTATACATAGATAAAGCATAATTGGTTGACAGTGCCGTGTTAACGGCTATATGGGCGTGTGTTATAACAACAGTAAAGTGTTCATGGGCTTGCGCTCCGTACACGTACGGCTCTCATCATCGTAATATAACCCCTCCTAGGAAAGAAGGTTACCGTCGACTTCCAGCTTGTTTCACCGTTCGAGACTGAGGGAGATGGCGAGACCAACGCTGAAATGACCGACTTCTCCGTGACTGTGGAGAAGAGTGATGGGCAGGGCATCACCTTCTACTGCAGCACGCTCCAGAACGATGACAAGTTCAGGTACATGATCTGCAACGTGCGTTTCTTCAGCGACGAGGCCGCCAGGAATTCGGTAGGTCCAGTGTTGGACTACTGTCATCTTCTACAGGTCTCCACTTACAACGGTCCCGACTTCGAGGACTTGGACGACAGTCTTCAGGCCACCTTGGATGAGTGGCTCGGCAGCCTCGGCATTGATGGAGAGTTGTGCGACTTCATTGACTCCTGCAGCATCGACAAGGAGCAGCGTGAGTACATCTTCTGGCTGAAGGGCCTTGAGAAGTTCTTGGCTTAAAGAACTTTCTACTCGCTATTAACTCTTGGCCTTTAATGGATATGTTGCTGATGGTGAGACAGTGGAATCTGTTTGTGTGCCAGTTATTGTCAGCTCGGCTTCGTTTTGAATTTTGTCCAGCAATGTTGCTAAAGGCCGCCGGAGAGGCATACTCATCTTCCTACATGTACATTCTTCAATTGAGCTTTAACCGATACACATCGTTATTTTAAACTAAAGTGGTGTGATTCAATGCATCTCTAGGACAATGTGCTTACTTTAGACACTTGATGTTGCGGCCCATTGCGAGGGGCCTTTGTGCGGCGCCACTGTAAGGTCGTTACCTTCCCCAAAAAACTGGTCCTTCCATTGAACTTCTGGGCGAATATAGCCCGCATATCAGGAGTTACCGCAACAACTGTATGCCATGTCTGCCGTTAAGCAACAATAGACGGGCAAATGATTGCCGAGGAGCAAATGGAGTATTCCAGCCAACTGAGCGCCTACTGCACGCACCTTGCAAACGCGTTGTCGTCGTCCTGCTGCGACACGACGGATTTTGATATAAATGAAGTTTGTTCGAGGTTAGACAGTATATCCCGTTCCTGGGAGTTATCACCGTCCCGGAGATTTGTACCGTGCCACAAAGGTGTGTCTTCCAGCATTTTGAAGCTCTATGGCAACGCATTTTATTGTGAAAGCGCGTTCCGGCGTTTGGCGAGCGCCTGTGCGCTCGGCATCGCACGTGACTGGGACAGAGATGTTTCGGTGGCATGGAGAAAACTACAATTTGTCACATGGTCCTGCCTCTTGAACCCATGCACGTCTTCAGATGTCGTTGCCCATGCACCCGCCATCGCTCTGTCGCTTGTTGCTGACTTTATAAGCGACAATGATGCGTCGGAAGAGCTCCTACTGGAGCGCTTGACTTTGCTGTGGCGCCTACGTCGCGATGCAAGGCTGCGCATAGCATCGCGTCGGGCGTTTGCGGATATAATCAATCGCGCTGAGACGAGCGATGCGGTCAGGATGAGTCTGAGGGGGGATCGCAGTGATGGTGCTGAGGTGTCACAATACAAGCTGTGGCTTCTAAGAAATCTCGATCGTGTTCTCACCTCGTCGAAATACCGGGAAATTGCATCAGAGTACGAGCAAATGTATGGTATCGCGGTCGCCGACAAGAGTGTGGCTGGAGTGGATCACGAGAGGGGTGGGAACGCTGGCTTAACCGACCTCCACATATCAGTCAGCGATTGCAGCTACGTGGAGCTCCCACACTCAAACTTGGTACGTGTGGGAAAGCGTGTATCGTACTTGAGGTATCCAGATGTCACCCATGATGACGCCTTCGTGGAATTGGACTACTCCCTGGAAGTGCTCGCGAGCATGCTGTGCCACCTGGATGCGAGCGTTGGCTCAGTCGTCTCGGGGGAGTGCTGCAAAGAGTTTTACATCAGAGAGCTCGCAAATCGAGTGGGAGTGCCGCACGATCGCATACGCCGCATTTACACGGACGAAACAACCGATGTGAAGTCACTGGTTGGCCAGTGGATATGCACGGAGAAGGTGGGCGAGTTCAAGTTCAGCTACGGCATACTATCCACGGCGATGCGACGAGGCCATTGGTTGATTTTCGATGAGAACCTGTCGGAAAGCATCGGGTGCCTCCTCCACAGCGTGTGTCAGCAGGGGCGGCTGACCATCACCGAGCTGAACGAGGTGGTGGATGCGTCGAGCAACTTCCATGTTTTCGTCACGACGAAGAACACGCAGACACTCAGTGGCAGCCTGAAGCACCTCCCTCGTACGCATGTGCCTGAGCTCTCCGAGGAGGACTGCGTCGAGATAGCGTCGAGGCGGTGGGACGTCATTGCCCCGATAGCTGCGTCGGTGGTGGCAGCATTCTTCTCGCTAAGGGCACGTCTCACGGACCACCGCGGGTTCAACATGTCGGACCTGTTCAAGATTTTCAACCGCCTGGCCACTTCGGGTGTCACATTCGACGGTTACCTCTCGAGCGCGACGAGGGGCGTAATCTTGGAGTCCTTCTACTGCGTGGTGCTGGCAGGGATATCATACGACAGACTGCGGGAGAGCATCCTCGGGGACGTCGGAGAGATGTTCGGCATTCCGCGCTCGTCCTGCTCCGAGGTGCTGCCACTCAGCCAGATAAAGGAAAGCGACAACACCCGCGTCCACCTCAAGGTGCTGCACCAGATGATGTCGTGCTACCTGTGCAACGAGCCGGTGCTGTTGGTGGGGGAAACGGGCACGGGCAAGACTGCCATTGTGCAGCACTTCGCGAAGCTCACGGGCAACACGCTGAAGGTGTACGTGTTTAGTGAGCAGTCGGAGGCGGAGGACCTCATCGGCAGCTTCTTCCCGGACAACATCGCGGATGTGTGCGCCGACATGTTTGGACGCGCACTGCGCGTGCTGCTGCGGTGCTGCGCCGCCGACGACCTGCTCCTGTGCTACCTGGACCACCTGGCCGACCTGTTCAAAAAGGGGCTGTACGCACGGTTCATGCGCACACTTGCTGCCGGTATAGGCCAAATAGGGGCCAAGGCGACAGACGATATAATGTCGGAAGCCGTGGCTTTGCGGGGCGAGTGCAATCTACATGCCGGGTCGGAGCCACCAGTCAAACAGAGCTTTAAGCTCTCCCAGCTGCAACAGCCCCTGGACGTTCTCACGGGCAGCGCCGCTACCATCCACGACAGCTACACGGCGGCGTTCAGGGCGGCTGGGCCGCAGCTGCAGTTCAAGTTCGAAGAAGGGCTGCTGATCCGAGCGATGCGGGAAGGGTGGTGGATCCTGCTGGACGAGATCAACCTGGCGCCGTCGGATCTGCTGCAGCGCTTTGTCGGCATTCTCTCACGAACGCCGGCCAAGTTTGAATTGTACGAGTGCGGGAGCCGCGTGGTGGACATCCACGAAAACTTTAGGCTCTTCGCCTGCATGAACCCGCCGATAATCCGCAAGGGAGACTTCGTGACCTTCACCAGCGGCAAGAAGGAGCTGCCGGCGAACTTCCGCAGCCAAATGACGGAGATATTCGTGGATGAGATCGAGACGGTGGAGGACGTTGCCGTGGTGGTGAGGGCGTACGCGGACGACCGCAGCGTGCCAAGCGCGGAGCTGTGCCACTTTTACCTCAAGGCGCGGGAGCTGTGCAGGGAGGGCGCACTGGAGGACGGGTGCTTCAAGTCGCCGACGTTCACGCTGCGAAACCTGGTGCGCACGCTGAATTACATGCATAACGTGATGCGGCGGAGTCACCGGGCAGTGAAGGACGGCCGTGAGGCGTTCGTGGACGCTGCGCTGTCGTGCTTCGCCTCGTCGCTGGGGGAAGCGTCCTTCGCCAAAGTGGAGGCGCTGCTGCCGGCGCCGCCGCAGCGGCAGGGCAGCTCCTTCGAGGAGAGCGTGGACTACGTCCGCGTCGAGGGGTACTGGATCCGCCGCGGCGGGGAGACTATTCGAAAGCAGGAGCACTTTATCGTGACGCCGAACATATCCAAGAGCCTGCGG